GGCGGCACCCGTCACAAACACATGCAAAAACAAGTCAACCTGAAAAAACACGGGAACATATGGTACAAGTCAAAATAGGGAATTGCAAAATCATTTTTGTCACTGATGTGTCACATTTGGAAATGTCCTCCACATGTCTACCATAAAACTTTTTGAAAGCTTTACTGAGGCCTTGAATGTTGTAACCTTGATCAAACAACGCCTGAGCAAGAGTCGCATGACGCTCTTTGAAATCTTGCTAGAAAGAGCATGCTTGATTGTATTTCAAAAGTTGTGAAATGTAAACACCAAAGGCTGGAGCTGCTGGAATATATCGACATGACATGAAGGGAAGGTTGACTATGGGAAAGTTGAAGTCTCTCGTGGAGTGTGTTTTGTCACTCTGAATGTTTATGCATAGATCTAAAATTTAATATAAAACAGATGAGGCGGTCTCACTGGTCTCCTTTATTTCTAGCTCTGGTGGGTAAATCAGTGGAAGGGAATAAGCTATTTGATTGTTATTGAACGATATCAGATCATCGATACGCCTGAAGCTTAAGTTAAAGTTCTTGGACAAATTACCTTGTGTTGACTTTGCTAGTTCGAACAGAAATTCCGATTCTTGTGCATAAAGAAACAGATCCACAAGAAGGGGAGCACAATTGGTGCCCATGGGGATGCCTACTTCTTGCCTAAATGTCTTACCCCAAAATTTTACGTAGATGTTATCAATGAGGAAGCCCAGCATTTCACATATTGTTTTCTCAGTAAACTTCAGATGGCATTTGCTTTCATTTTACACAAATTGTCCCGAACCTCTGAATATAGATACGTGACTGTATCTGTGGCCACCACGTTTTGTAACAAAAGCCTCATGGATCAAGGAATAAAGTTTTCCTTAAGTTTGTCATGTGGGATAGCGGTGTACAAAGTTGAAAAATCAAACGTTTTGACAGAATGGAACTTGGTTCTTTTCTGAGATTGCAATAAGTCAAGCAAAATCCTTGTGTTTTTGAGAATACACATGATATTCATTCCAATTGTCTCAAATACTTTCTGTGGGTATAAAGAAAGTCCTTCCTTGGTTGTATTAAGGATTATGGTTTGTCTTTGAGACAGGGATTTGGCGGTACATTAGATTGACCCAGCAATATATCTCTCTTTGTACGGCTTTTTAGGGAGCTTTGGAATCCAGTATAAAAGAGAGGAATGGACATGCCTTCAGGTTTTAGAGTCAAGTCAAAAGTTGACAGTACTGATTTATGGTTTTGGTAGATTGCTTCCTCAGTTAACAAACTAGCCATGATAAATTTGTTCGTTTTTGGTGATGTGGTTGCCGTCTTAATGTCTCGGCCGAAACATTTCTTTAGCAGTTGACTCGGCATAATTGGTAAAAACTACAGAGACACATTAAAATGCAAACACAATTCGGTGTAAAAAAACATCAAATCAGAAATAACATTTTTCATTTGTGAATTTCACTGCTGGGTCCGTCAGAAAAGAAGGAAATAAATGGATTTAGTCTCAGGAAGATTTGGTGCCTCATCACATGGCATGAGCTGTTGGCATAGTAACCAGATGGCGTTTCGTGTACAGTGCAAACGCACGCTGAACCTGTTTCCAATTTTCAACGACGACAAAATATTTTTGGGCTGGGATAGGGAAAATTTCCATTGTTAAACTATGCCTTTGGACCGCTCTCTGTAATCATTTAAACCCGTGAAGATCCGGGTTGGAATTGCTCTTCAGCAACCCATTCTTGTCATAGGAGGCGACTAAAGGGTTCGGGTTGTCAGGCTCGCTGTCTTGTTTGATGCATGTCATCCCTACACATCCCAATGGCATATACGGATGCTCATGATGTCAATCTTCACTTGGTCCCCATCTTCAAGTTTATGGGCGTAACCCTCCCTTCAACAAGAAGTCTCCCCATTAAGATTGGTTATGACTGTGATGACTCGGACATCAGTGATCCTGCCGGCCAGTCGACATACGAGTCGCAAAACGTAAACAATTCAACATTCAAAGCAGACAGCAAATAAGCCCTCTCAGACCACCAGCAAAAGTCCCCTTGCCATCAAATTCAGTTGGACACAGTTCACACTCTCTCAACCAAACATCACAAAACGAAAACTCTCAGAAGCTATAGAAATCCGCCATCACAACCTTTGATCAACAGAGATCAAGGGTATTACATCCCGCCTGCCTAGGAATATCTAATTGTCACGGAGCTGTGCTCCAATGATCCGATGTGTCATAAAATAAGAATAACGTAATAATGAAAACGTGATAACAGGTTCAGAGTTTTTTTTAATAACAGATAATTGTACTAATAGATGACAATATAAGATCAGATAAACCATATCTTCGCTGACAAAGATCACTGATTTATTACATCAGCGCAGATCTACAAGCGGCGTAACTAAGCAACTGTAGTACAGTAATAAAATGAGTAGCAAAAACAACACTTTGACAAGATACAGACAAGATGCGCAGACAGCCAATTAAGTCGGCTGCAACCAATTAACACCTGTGTCAATTCCCTCAACACGCTAATGAGTGAATAACATCGGCTGGGTTAAATAACGGGAAATAAACACAGAGGGCCCATTCCGAAAAGAAGTCACTTAGACTACAAAACAGACTGGGTACGTCTGAATATCGACTAGGGACTAAAAATACTAAAGGAAATACTAAAACTTCCAAATAGCTAGACATTCACGTGAAGTTTGGTTATCCACGGATTACTGGGAAAAAACGAGTATTGCAAACACTAGTTACTAAGTGCCTAGACAATCACGGGAAGGTTGGTTATCCACGGATTACCAGAAAAAAACGAGTATTGCAAACACTAGTTACTAAGTGCCTAGACAATCACGGGAAGGTTGGTTATCAATGGATTATTGGAAAAAATACTAGTATTGCAAACACTAGTTACTAAGTGCCTAGACAATCACGGGAAGGTTGGTTATCCACGGATTAACAGAAAAAACGAGTATTGCAAACACTAGTTACTAAGTGCCTAGACAATCACTGGAAGGTTGGTTATCCACGGATTACCAGAAAAAAACGAGTATTGCAAACACTAGTAACTAAGGTTAGTTCAGTACAACTAGACTAAGTCAGAATCCAAATCGAAGAGTATGCCGAACCGTGACCCCTCCATTAGCAAGACAATCGTGAACGATTTAACGAAAGCTGGACGGTAAAGACACAAAATCCAGAAAGACTGGGAAGATACAACACACTGGGGCGCTTAGCCACGTGTGTTTTAACACACGGGGAAAACACAAATAGCAAACTAATTACTATATCTTTTCTGAGGTTGTAAGTATCAAAATAGGGCGCTGAACATAAGCTATCCAACGGTATCATTAAAGATATACAACAAGCTCTGTACAATTGGATGAGGCAAAAAATGATCATAAATACATGAGCAATATCTGAATGTACATATATATCCCGTGATGTTTGAAAATCATAGTTACAAAAACCTTTTTTAACACAAGTGAGTGAGTGAGTGAGTATGGTTTTACGCCGCTTTTAGCAATATTCCAGCGATATCACGGCGGGGGACACCTTAAATGGGCTTCACACATTGTACCCATGTCGGGAATCGAACCCGGGTCTTCGGCGTGACGAGCGAACGCTTTAACCACTAGGCTACCCGACCGCCCCTTTTAACACAAGAATACGGAAGCGAACACATAAGAGATAACATACATCAACCGAAAACATGGTTTGTGACTGCCATTAGATCACAAGAGAATGAAATAGACCGGCCACTAAATCTCTAACACAGACGGAACTGACTCTGTAGGCACCGCCGGACTTCGCTGAGCTGTGCCGGAATGAGGCCGGGGAACAGAGCTGTCACCAGACCGTGACATAAGCCAATTATCACCCCAGGGACAATAATCAAGCAATATATTTTTTTGCCATTTTTTTTATAATTAGTATCCAATCAGCTTGTTACAATTTCCTAATCCTTATCCCTACCGTACATCTGTCTGCTTGGGATGATGGGGTAGCCTAGTGGTTAAAGCGTTCGCTCGTCATGCCGAAGAGCCGGGTTCGGGGAAGAATCTGTATCCAAACGTCGCTAAATGCAATAAACCAGAAGTAAATTCTTTAAGTGGCATTTAGAAGTTGGTGTGATGAAGTAAGACACGTTCTATGGATGAACAACTTCTTTATTACAATTAGTGCGACGTTTCGGTGTAGATCCTAACACCTTTATCAAGCAAGTGATTGACAGTGCTAAACAACATACGTATATATACTTATTAACATCAATGTTTATACAGTAAAATGATTGATGGACACAGAGAGCTGATTAAGATAATTGGAAGCGAGTGAATTGTCTAATGGACACAGAGTCAGCAAGCAGACTGGTAGAGATGATTGGAAGCTAGTGGATTAATTGGATGGACATAGGGATTTAGGAATTAGGTGATGGTTGATGATAGGTGATAAGTGATGATTCTAATTCACTTGCTTCCAATCATCCCAATCAGCTTCCGTGGTTGTTTACCCTGTCCCATTAGTCATCCACTGGCTTCCAATTATCTTAATCAGCTCTCTGTGTCCATCAATCAATTTACTGTATAAACATTGATGTTAATAAGTATATATACCTATGTTGTTTAGCACTATCCATCACTTGCTTAATAAAGGTGTTAGGATCTACACCGAAACGTCGCACTAATTGTAATAAAGAAGTTGTTCATCCATAGAACTTGTCTTACTAAAGCAGAAGTAGTTATACACACAGTTGTACCGTCGTTTTCATATCAGAACACGATATTACTGATAAATATAAAGTTTACTTGTGCATGATTTACACATCTGAATTAATACGGTGAAATAGAATGTGTGAAGCCATATTAGTACGGACCCCGATAAACTGGAAACCCATTGGTTAGCATTTTGAATTGAGACCAGATATTCTTTCAGCTACAGCTGAAAACTAGTGATACACTGGTATGGTGTATGGTAATATAGTAATGACGTCATACCTTGCGTGTTTCTGTCTCTCCCCATCCTACGTGAGTAACATGTGGCCCCTACAGCGCCAGGATTGTGCCACTCTGCAGTCCTTCCGATTTCCAATACAGACTGTGAGGCCTGTGAGGTTTCAAAACACGCATTTTGAAATATATTCTATAAGTCTATTTTTATCAAGAACCTGTGCTGGGTGTGCTCTTTTGTTTATCGCCCTACATCCACATACAGTGCTGAATTATAAGTCTGTTTGGTTCCTTCAGCACGTCTGGCATCAGAAGGATTTACCCTAGACACATTATAGATGAATATATTATCAGAATCAGAATCAGTTTATTCTCAAAAACCACAAAAGGTGGTACAAGAGCATATTACAATAAATAATTATGTATATGTACAAAAAGCATAACCTTACCTTAAACTGAATACCAGGACAGCCTTTGTATTTCCTTTGTTTTGTTAACATTGGAGTACGCGAGAAGATGGTCAGGATTGGCAGGTGTGTTGCCGTGGTTTTCAGAATAGGGCCGCCATCGATTTAGAAACAGCCGTCCTGACCATTATAATTCATTCCAAGTTTGACAAAGGAGTGGTGGACAGTGTCCACACAGACACCTGCTCCTTCGTCCCATATACACCTGGGGACACACCGGGGAGCGGAAAACACCTGCACATCATATTCGTCACATCCGGAAGGACAGGATGTGATATTGTCACGGAGCTGTGCTCCAATGATCAGGGGTGTCATTTAACAGGAATAAAGTAATAAAGAAAACGTGGTAATAGTTTCACAGGTTTATTACTAACAGCTAACTTTTTCAATAGATGACAATAAAAAGGATCAAAAGCCCACTATACTGACATTGACCGCTGATTAGATAAATCATACCAAATACACAAGCGGCATAGCACCTGTATTACAGTAACAAAATGTGAGTAGCTAAAACAACACTTTGACAAGATGCGTAGACAGCCAATCAAGTCGGCTGCGATTAACACTCTAATGAGAGAATGACTTTGGCTTGGTAAAATAACTGGAATTAAACACAGAGGGCCTATCCCTAAAATAAGTCCCTTGGACAATAAAATACCGGTAGATGAGAACGCATGAATATCAAACTAGTCTAATAGATGAAAGACTCAGCCACTTTGACTTAGCGGGGACAAGGGTGGCCCAGTCGTCTAAGGCGCCGCGATTCGCTGTGCAGAGTTGCGTCCCTTGGGCACGCCAGAAACCTATGATTGTGGGTTCGAATCCCGGTTCGCCCCAATTATGTTTCTAGGTTTGTCAGCACCATACCCGTACTCGTGGGTTTCACCGAAATGATAAACGTCTTAGACATGCATCACTTCGGGCTTTCCTCCCACATTAAGCTGACACGCCGTGATATAACTGGAATAATGTTAAAAGCGGCGTTAAACCCAACTCACTCACTCACTCACCACTTTGACTTAGTAAGATAATTCTAAAAGTCCCAGAAAGCTAGACAATCACGGGAAGGTTGGTTATGCACGGATTACTAGAAAAACGGAGTATGAGTTTTTTATGTAATTGAAAACTGAAAGAAATCTTGTTAAAATTGATTAATTAACAATCACCCATTCCTGAAAAGGTAATCTGTGACAAGGTATATTTTTCTGGCAAAAGTAAATTGGTTTAATGAAGATATGAATTTGCAATCACATGACTCCTACCATGTTTGAAATGTTGTAAGTTTGTGCCGAAAAATACAAATCTATTTATTTCAAAGATAAAATGTCATAGAAATCCATCTTCAGTTGTATATTATATGACTTTTTTTAAATGTTAAATCAAATTATATTTTTAAAAATATTAACATATTAAGTATTCTTTTAATGCTTACTAATAATACGAGCCAGTACAGTTCTTGTTTGGGTACAATAACTTCATATGTTTTCAATTACAAATCAAACACATGATAAAATCAACTGAGAGGTATATTTTCTTTTGCCCCTCATTAAATTGCTCTTTTGATTTTAATATCACTGAAACACGCTCAAAGAAACAACGTAATTAAATTGCCTCTTACCTCTGGCCTCTTACACATCCTAATTTGCATCTTCTTAATCAATTTACCCAACCCATATTTCCAAATAGCAGACTCTCCGTTGCTGGTTTGAGAAACTCCACTGGCATAAGTGGTGGCAGATCACTGAAGGTGGTGAAACTTCAGCAGAGCAACGTTCCCCCTCCAGGAGAATTTAACTTCCTTGGCGTTTAAATCAATACTGTCAAGGCTGTGTTGAGTTAAGCATTACGAAGTGATCAATATGCCATCGACCTTGGTGAACCATCCCTAACAATGCTCTTTGAAGAATATTGACTTAACATTAGTGGAACACGGCTTTCATTTTTTTCTTGTCGTTACCGCGGATTGAAAAGTGTTTAAATACAACTTTAAAACGTTTTCTGAAGAGGAGTATTATCAAGGTCAGGTTGTTACCCAGTGTTGACGGTTTGATTAAGTTACGTTTTTTTTATACAGGCGATAGATCTCATGTTCCAATGTTTCGTGCGTGTTTTGGCTTAGTTAAACGGTTTAGTTAAACTTAAAAAGTGGATTTATCTTTAAATTGATTACATTGCATTTCCATATATAGCCTGAAACTTAAGCCGCAGCTGTTATATTGACTGTTTCATTGTATGATGCTGTAAATGTAGTTTCAACTGTAGACGACGTACCGCAATGTTCAAGATGCTACACTGGAAGTCCGAAGTGATGCAGACCTTAGACGTGTATGTATTTCCACTTTGACGACACCCACGAGCAAAGGTATGAAGTAATGATAAACCAAGAAACACATTCAGGCTGGATACGGGTTTCGAACTCACGGTCATAGGTTCCTGGCACAGTTAAGGGACGCAATTTTGCAAAGCGATTTTCAGCGACTTTGACTTCAAGGCCGACCGTTCCCCCGTCAACTGTAAACGTGTGCGACCTGTACTGCAGTTCAGTAACACGCTGTCCTTTCACCGGTATACAGATTTACCGGACAAATCACCTAACTCCCTAAATTACCCGACGTACGGTTTGGTGGTGTCGTACAGAGATTCCCCGCTCTAAGCTTAACGTTTCGACTTAAATAATCCAGTAATATACACCTGGAGTGATGTACACAGAAAGTCGTGATAACCTTCAGATTAACTCGGATGGGCTGATACAAGTATTGGAATTGTAAGGACGTACTGTATGTTAGCAGACAGATTATCACTAACACTAATGAAATTGACAGCCCATCACGGATATTGATGGAATACTTGGCAATACGAATATTAAAATCATCCTTGGGAGTATGAATTAACACGTATGTAAATACAGTGTCGGAACCTCTTGATAGAATAGCAAGAACTCAAGCTCAAGTTTCACAACCAATTTGACGATGGAAACTACCAATTAACATAGATGGCGCGGACCACATCACTAGCTAATGATATCAATTAGATATGGCATAATGTGAATTACAAGATACGAATAACGTCCTTTGTTAAGTCATTAATATACAGTGAAATCACGTCAACGACGAACCGACTTTCCAGACATATATATTCAAACGACGTTTATCTGTAGAACTGATCCATGAATGCGGAACTTTAGTGTGTTCATGTGTGTTCTCGCGAGAAAGGTCTAGATTGATGAGGTCCACTGTATAGTCATAAAATGAAAACAGGTAACGGGTGTAAAGTGAGGTATTTGTTCAAGATGGACCCCGACGCGATATGCTTCTCACAAGCTGCTGTCTCATCTCACGTGTTCAGAACGTGACGGTACATCTTGCATGTAACCACAACGTTACACCCTGCACGTACGCCGACTTTAATCCCTCCATGTACCCCGACGTTACACCCTCCATGTACCAAGACGTTACACCCTGCATCTACCCCGACGTTACAACCAGCATGTACCCCGACGTTACAACCAGCATGTACGCCGACGTTACACCCTCCATGTACACCGATGTTACAACCAGCATGTACGCCGACGTTACACCTTCCATGTACCCCGATGTTATACCCTCCATGTACCCCGACGTTACATCCAGCATGTACGCCGAAGTTACACCTTGCATCTACCCCGACGTTACAACCAGCATGTACGCCGACGTTACACCCTCCATGTACCCCGATGTTACACCCTCCATGTACCCCCACGTTACACCCTCCATGTACCCCGACGTTGCACGCCGCATGTACCCCGACGTTATACCCTCCATGTACCCCGATGTTACACCCTCCATGTACCCCCACGTTACACCTTCCATGTACCCCGATGTTATACCCTCCATGTACCCCGACGTTACATCCAGCATGTACGCCGAAGTTACACTCTGAATGTACGCCGACGTTACACCTTGCAAGTACACCGACGGTACACTCTACGTGTACGGCGACGGTACAAAACACGTGTACCCCAACGTTACACACACCATGTACCCCGACGTTACACCTTCCATGTACCCCGACGTTAAACCCTCCATGTACCCCGACGTTACACCTGCATGTACCCCGACGTTACACCTTCATGTACCCGGATGTTTCACCTTCCATGTGTCCCGATGTTACACCTTCCATGTACCCCGACGTTACACCTTCATGTACCCGGATGTTTCACCTTCCATGTACCCCGATGTTACACCTGCATGTACCCCGATGTTTCACCTTCCATGTACCCCGATGTTACACCTTCCATGTACCCGGATGTTACACCTTCCATGTACACCGACGTTACACCTTCATGTACCCGGATGTTACACCTTCATGTACCCGGATGTTACACCTTCCATGTACCCGGATGTTACACCTTCCATGTACCCCGATGTTACACCTTCCATGTACCCGTATGTTACACCTTCCATGTACCCCGATGTTACACCTTCCATGTATCCGGATGTTACACCTTCCATGTACCCCGATGTTACACCTTCCATGTACCCCGATGTTTCACCTTCCATGTACCCCGATGTTACACCTTCCATGTACCCCGATGTTACACCTTCCATGTACCCGGATGTTATACCTTCCATGTACCCCGATGTTACACCTTCCATGTACCCCGATGTTTCACCTTCCATGTACCCGGATGTTACACCTTCCATGTACACCGACGTTACACCTTCATGTACCCGGATGTTACACCTTCCATGTACCCGGATGTTACACCTTCCATGTACCCGGATTTTACACCTTCCATGTACCCCGATGTTACACCTTCCATGTACCCGTATGTTACACCTTCCATGTACCCCGATGTTACACCTTCCATGTATCCGGATGTTACACATTCCATGTACCCCGATGTTACACCTTCCATGTACCCCGATGTTTCACCTTCCATGTACCCCGATGTTACACCTTCCATGTACCCCGATGTTACACCTTCCATGTACCCGGATGTTATACCTTCCATGTACCCCGATGTTACACCTTCCATGTACCCCGATGTTTCACCTTCCATGTACCCGGATGTTACACCTTCCATGTACCCCGATGTTACACCTTCCATGTACCCCGATGTTACACCTTCCATGTACACCGATGTTACACCCTCCATGTACCCCGATGTTACACCTTCCATGTACCCCGATGTTACACCCTTCATGTACACCGTCGTTACACCCTGCATGTACCCCGGTGTTACACACTCAATATAAACCGACGTTACACCCGGCATGTACGCCTATGTATACCCTCCATGTACCCTGACGCTACATTGCCCATGTACATCGACGTTACATCCTGCATGTACGCCGACGTTACATCAAGCATGTACACCGACGTTACACCCAGTATGTACACCGACGTTACACACTGCATGTACGCCAACGTTATACCTTGCATATACACCGACGTTACACCCAGCATGTACACCGACGTTACACACTGCATGTACGCCAACGTTATACCTTGCATATACACCGACGTTACACCCAGCATGTACACCGACGTTACACCCAGCATGTACACCGACGTTACACCCAGTATGTACACCGACGTTACACACTGCACGTTCGCCGACGGTACACCCTGCATTAAAGCATCCATTCGTTGACATTAGTGGACTCAAGTGGTCATGGCCTCCTATGACTATTTCGCTTATTTCTGTTGTAAGCGTGCAGTGTTTGGCTGACAATGGGCAATTGTGTTATGATATATCTTTCATCCCAGTGTTTTGACAATAACAGTTTATGCACTTGGAATGATTTATAAATAAACAAAATAATCAATAAAAGCAAATCAACTGATGATATTAACATTCTTCCATTTTGGATAATTCAAGATCTGGAACGTTTCTATGTTTGACAAAGATTTATTGACGTCAGAAAAAAACAAAAATACCATTTCAACTGACCACGCCTCCGACGTTTGGTACAAAGAGAGGAGACGCTTCGGATTTGGCTTGGAGCCTGTTCGGCTTTGGAAGCCAGACGCTTGTTAACCACACTTGACCTTTGCATGAAAACGCTACGCAAAAGAGTGCAACGTTTGTGTTGTGGTTTGAAACACGGAATTAGGGGCAGCACGTCTCTTCTACTGTGTTACAAATGTCTTTTTTATGATGTGATAGATGAACTACGGCGAGTAATTAGATTTAGATTTTGCACTCCCCGCGTCTCGACAGAGATGAAGTAACGCTGAGATTTGATTGGAGTTTCAATGATTTAGAACATTAGATTTGGGACGTGGAGTTACCAGCATGGCTCCCGCTGAAAGATCTCAGCCTTGGGAACATGTAATTTACATTGTGAGGTGTTGATATGGGGGTTTTCACATCGCGCACAAGATTATTACACACTTACATAAGTTTGTATTTCTGTTTGTACGGGCAGAAGGTGCATAGTCGGATTAGTTCTAATAATATAAGGCTAAGCGTGTGTCTGTGCCTGTGTCTATGTCTGTGTGCGTGTCTGTGTGTGTGTGTGTCTGTGTGTGGGCGTCTGCTTGAACTTGTCGACTGATGCCGATTTTATAGTGCTAGCACACCGAGATACCATGCCGCAGTTTAACACTGAGATACCATACTCAAGTACAATATTCTGACTCCTTGTTTTATCCCCTAAATGCTGAGTAACCCATCTTCCCGAGGCAAGGGAGTTAACTGAATATAAATATCCACTTTCGACCCTTGCCGAACTAGGCTGGAATTTCCAGGCTCGGTCGTAGCGCCACCAGTGGCTATTGCGAGTTATGTCCCTTCTATGTTCCTCCTGTTGACGAATCAGATTCCATTTTTCATATCACTTGCATTGTCTTCAAACAAAATGGCGGCGCCCAGTCAGGACCATCTGATCGATAATCAAGATCTATAATGTAATAAAACGGGCCTTACCTCGCGAAGTGCATCAAATCACGTGAGCGCTATGATATAAAACATGAAAGAATTTGCAAAATATCTGTCGACGCCCAGTTGGCGGTACACATGCTTTGCAAATCCTGCTGTCGACGAAATTCTGCACGTTGAAATCCATGTTGTTTACGAACCGGGTGTCCAGTTCGTAAAGCGATTTTGATTCGAAAGTGTATAGACTCGTTAGTCCAGCCAAAATGTAACTCCATATTTGCAGCCTAGTTCGGCAAGGGTGGAAACTGGACTTTTATAGTCAGTTAACGCCCTTGCCTCGGGAAGATGCTGAGCACCAGGCAGGGTAACACATATCTATTAACGTCTTTACGTATGCCCTCTCCGGGCAAAGGCTCTATCCACTACACATTTTATTGCAACTTGCCCTAAAGTAACAAAATGATCACGATTTTATGAAAACTATCAACACGACTTCCTCCCAAATTCTGCCATGACGTTAGTATTAGCGTGATCGAATTTACTTTTTATTTATTTTATGATGAATACATAATGACAACGAAACCCTCGCCGTTAAGTAATATTCAACCATAATACAATGTGACACAGGCAGCCTGGTCTCTTCTTAACCAGAGTTTCAATATTTTACTTTCAACAATGTACTTTGGCTACAATGTTGTTAGTTTCCAGTGTACTTTGGCTACAATGTTGTTAGTTTCCAGTGTACTTTGGCTACAATGTTGTTAGTTTCAAGTGTACTTTGCCTACAATGTTGATAGTTTCCAGTGTACTTTAGCTACATTGTTGTTAGTTTCCAGTGTACTTTGGCTACATTGTTGTTAGTTTCCAGTGTACTTTAGCCTAATTGTTGTTTTTTACAGTGTACTTTGGCTACAATGTTGTTAGTTTCCAGTGTACTTTGGCTACAATGTTGTTAGTTTCCAGTGTACTTTGGCTACAATGTTGTTAGTTTCCAGTGTACTTTGGCTACAATGTTGTTAGTTTCCAGTGTACTTTGGCTACAATGTTGTTAGTTTCCAGTGTACTTTGGCTACAATGTTGTTAGTTTCCAGTGTACTTTGCCTACAATGTTGTTAGTTTCCAGTGTACTTTGCCTACAATGTTGTTAGTTTCCAGTGTACTTTGGCTACAATGTTGTTAGTTTCCAGTGTACTTTGCCTACAATGTTGTTAGTTTCCAGTGTACTTTGCCTACAATGTTGTTAGTTTCCAGTGTACTTTGGCTACAATGTTGTTAGTTTCCAGTGTACTTTGCCTACAATGTTGTTAGTTTCAAGTGTACTTTGCCTACAATGTTGTTAGTTTCCAGTGTACTTTTGCTACAATGTTGTTAGTTTCCAGTGTACTTTGGCTACAATGTTGTTAGTTTCCCATGTACTTTGCCTTCAATACTGTTAGTTTCAAATATACTTTGTCTACATTGTTGTTAGATTCCTGTGTACTTTGCCTACAATGTTGTTAGTTTCCAATGTACTTTGCCTACAATGTAGTTAGTTTCCAGTGTACTTTGCCCACAATGTTGTTAGTTTCCAATGTACTTTGCCTACAGTGTTGTTAGTTTCCAATGTACTTTGTCTACAATGTTGTTAGTTTCGAATGTACTTTGCCTACAATGTTGTTAGTTTCCAGTGTACTTTGCCTACAGTGCAATTAGATTCCAGTACATTTTGCCTACGATGTAGTTAGTTTCTAGTAATGTTTGCTTACGATACAGATAGTTTCTGGTACTGTTTGTCCACGTTTGATCGTTGAACATTGCAGTAAACCACTAGTTTGTCTCGATCACTTTCACACACTAACACATACTCACACACACTAACACACAATACGTATTCACCCCTCTCTGTATTTCACAGTACATTTACACTTATCAGAGGGGTACACAAAGTACGTGATCAAGAACTTTGTGTTCTTGCGATAAAGTGCCTCGCTGTGAGTGTGTGGGTTCGAAACCTGGATGGTACCTCATCGTTAAAAGTACTAGAATTTGTACTTTAATCAGAAAGTGGAATCCC